TGCACTCCAGCCTGGGTGACAAGCAAAACTCCGTCTAAAAAAAAAAAAAAAAAAAAGACTGAGAGTTTTACAGAGTTGAATAGAGGCAAGTCATGGGAGCTTCCCCGTGAAGTCATGCAGCACACAGCAGTACAGGCACGCTGAGCGCAGAAGGAGCTTCCCTTAGGTGCAGTCTTCACACTGGGAGCAGACATATTACACAGATCTCATTATTCTGTAACCAGCATTGCACACCATGTTGACTCATCACTTTGAGAACGAGCTAGTTGGCTGTTAAATTGCCCCAGTCTCTAATGAGAATTGTTAAAAAGTAAACTTTTTCCCAAGTCTTCCCTTAGCTATTTATCCTTCTTTCTTTCTTTTCTTTCTTTCTCTTTCTTTTTCTCTTCCTTCCTTCCCTCTCTCTCTCCCTCCCTCCTCCTTCCTTCCTTCTTTCCTTTTTCTTTCTTTCTCTTTCTTCCGTCTCTCCCTCCCTTCTTTCTTTTGTTCTTTCTTTCGCTCTTCCTTCCTTCCTTCCCTCCCTCCCACCTTCCTTTGTTCCTTCCTTTGTTCCTTTCTTTCTTTCTTTCTTTCTTTCATCTCTCTCTCTCCCTTTCTTTCTTTCTCTTTCTTTCTTTCTTTCAACAGTCTCACTCTGTCACCCGGGCTGGAGTGCAGTGGCATGATCTCAGCTCACTGCAAACTCTTCCTCCTGGGTTCAAGCGATTCTCCTGCCTCAGCCTCCCAGGTAGCTGGGATTACAGGCACCCACCACTACGCCCAGCTAATTTTTTGTGGTTTTAGTAGAGACAGGAGATCACCATGTTGGCCAGTCTGGTCTTGAACTCCTGACCTCATGATCCACCCTCCTCGGCATCCCAAAGTGCTGGGATTACAGATATGAGCCACCATGCATACCCAGTGTTTTTTTTTTTTTGTTTTGTTTTGTTTTTTAAGTAGAGATGGGGTTTGCCATGTTAGCCACGCTGGTCTTGAACTCCTGGCCTCAAGCAATGCATCTGCCTCAACCTCCCAAAGTGCTGGGACTACAGTGTTTTTCTTTCTCAATGATGCAATACATAGTCATAAATATTCTCTGGAATCCTCTCATTTTCCTAATTACAAGAAGGAACTTTTAAGAAACCAAAAGACAGAAACCTGCTGGATCAATCTTCCCATATGAGTAGCACATCAAACTCATTTATGAAAAAGGAAGAATCACAAAGTTTCAGTTTGTTACAACAATATAAGAAGTAGGAGAGAAAGAAGCATAGATAAACCAGTACAGATAGGAAACACGAAATAAGATTATAGAAATGAATCCAAATTTCAGTAATCATCATAAATGTAAATGGATCAAATAGGCCTTTAAAAGTACAAAAAGAGTTCGAGTTTTAAGTATTAGAAATCCAGATAAATACTTTTTATAAGAGGCTTGCTAAACTGTAAGGATCCAGAATGACAGAAAGCATAAGTATATAAAAAGTAGAGGCTGGGCACTGTGGCTCACATCTGTAATCCCAGTGCTTTGTGGTGCTGGGAGTTGAAGACAAGTCCTGGCAGCATAGTAAGACCCCATCTCTACAAAAAACACAAAAGTTAGCCAGGTGTGGTGGTATGTGCCTATGGTCCCGGCTACAGGGGAGGCTGAGATGGGAGACCTGCTTGAGCCCAGGAGTTTGAGGCTTCGGTGAACTGTGAGCACCACTGCACTCCTGCCTGGGTGACAGAGCAAGACCCTGTCTGAAAAAGGGTAATAATAATAATGATTTTTTTTTTTTTAATTAGCTGGTCATAGCGGCATGCACCCATAGTCCCAGCTACTTGGGAGCCTGAGGCAAAAGGAGCCTTTGAGCCCAAGGAGTTCGAGGCTGCAGTGAGTCAAATGCCACTGCACCCCAGCCTGGGTAACAGAACAAGACTCTGAAAGAAAGTAAAAATAAAAGTAAAAATAAAATATATCTGGCAAACATCCAACCCTTCAAAAAAGCTAATGTGATTATTATTAACATGAGACAAATGAGTTTAAGACAAAAAGCATTTTCAGGGATGAAATGAGTTACTACATTTGCTAAAAATTTCATTGGAGAGTTATAACAACTCTAAACTTATGTGTCCTTAATAACATATCTTCAAAGTATGTAATCCAAAAATTGATCAAACTTTATGTTTCAAATTGAAAACATACATGGTGATGAGGATAAATAATTGAGGAAGATAGACGAGAAGAAACATATGTTGGGGGTTTACTATTTGCCAAGACTGTGCCAAATGCTAGGGAAACAAGGATGTGGAGACATAGCTTCTGCCCCCATAAAACTTCCATATGGAAATAATGTATAATGTGATAAAGGTTATAACAGTGGGATATACACTCTTATAATGAATGATGGAAGACAGAAGGAAGTTACTGTCTCAATCAGAAGAGGAGGAGCTAAAGGAAAACTCGCAGAGAAGTCTTCTGAAATCATCTTAAAAGATGAGTAAGAGTTCACCAGATAGACAAAGGGCAGAGGGGAGGGGACCAGGGAGCAGAACATGCCAGACAGAGGAAACAACACACCAAAAGCCAGAAAGGTAAGAAAGCACAGCATGTTCAGAGGTCTACAGCATTGGATAAAAGCACTGAGAAAGAAAAAAACATTTTTACTGGTAATGATTTCACATGCATGAAGCCTTAATTTCAGTGACATTTACACATACCAGAAAGAAGAACTGGACAAGCTTCCTCTTCAGCCTAAAAGTCACTAGAAAAATATTACGAATCACATGGGAGATGGGAGGAGCTTAGAAAGCGACCAGTTTGATTTTCCTTGGCAAATCCTGCAGTGCAGATTTGCTAAGCTCCAGTGTAATGTACTCTGGTGATGTCATTTTAGCCTCGGATGATTGCACATCCCAAACAATCATGTGACTAATACCCTTTGGCTGTTACCAAAAGGTCTAAACAATACCAGCAGCATGCTCAGCCTCAGCGTGCTAGCAAGCTGCCTTAGTTCCTCACTTTCATAATTACAATCTGACTTGTTAATGTAATAAACAGGAGGTGGAAAAGGAGAAAGAAAAACAAGTGTGGAAACTGTTTCATAGCAGTGCTATGACCTAACGCATCCATTTGATTTCAGTTGGCAAGGGAAGCAGAAGATCCAGTTTGACAAAAGAAATCAAGAATGGTTACACAACAGGCTGAGCTGGGAGAGTCCTTTATATATTGTCAGTCTCTACCATGGCAGGTAATTCCCTCAGTTGTGAACAAAACATCTTCCAGAGTAGCCAAAACGTTTTAGGAAATAATGTGCACTTTTTTTTTCTTTTTCTTTCCCCTTCGATAACTAGTCCAGCAGAATAATGTGCAATTTAGAAGGGACTGTTTTTTTTCTTTCTTTTATATAAAACTGTGCCCCTTGATTTTGGGTCTCATTGATGTTGATTCTTTTAACTAAGCAATTTTCTCATGTGCAGTGGGAATTGACACCTCTCTAACCAATTTTTATTTTGTTGATGAAAACTGGAAGCAGAAGCTAGAAGGATGGGGGGATTGTCCTCTTTTCTCTCTATTTTTTTTCTTTTTTATGTCCTTTTATGTCAAGTTAAGCCTGGTTTTTGCTTTAATCATAGCAGAAAGCATTTTCCACGTCAGGGAAAGTAGAGAACAGGCTGTAAACCCTGTCCCCTGCTTGCTCTCCAGCTCCCCATTTTTGTCCTTTGCCCTGCAGCAATGTCTTTTCCCTTCTTGTTTGCTTCTCCTTTCTTTATTCATTTCTCAGTTCTTCTCTGGCCTCACTCAAAATGGCAGAAATTATGCAACCTAGTACTTTTCACAGAAGCTCCTTAAGCATAGTAATTCATCAAGGATTCATCAAGTGCCTGCCATGCACTGACACTGTTCTAGATGCCGAGAATACTACCATGAATGAAACAGACAGAAATCCCAGCTGTCACTGAGCTTTGTCTGAGGGCCACTGGGGAAGGCCTCTCGAAGGAAGTGATAGCTGAGCTGGGATCTGAGTCATGAAGCGGAGTTGAGCCTAGGGGAGAACAGCTGCAAGAGTGTTCCAACCAGAGAGACCAGCCCGGCAAAAAGGAGGAGCATCCACCCGGTACATTCCAGGGACAGGAAGGAACGAGGCACAGTGCCTTCAAGGGAAAAGCATCAGTTTGGATGAGGAAGGATGGAGGGTCATGAATACAAAGTAAGAGAAATTATGGCTGGGTGCAGTAGCTCACGCCTGATATAATCCCAGCACTTTGGGAGGCCAAGGCGGGCGAATCACTTGAAGTCAGGAGTTCCGTACCAGCCTGACCAACAGGGTGAAACTTCATCTCTACCAAAAATACAATTAGCTAGACCTGGTGGTACGTGCCTGTAATCCCAGCTATTCGGGAGGCTGAGGCAGGAGAATCGCTTGAACCTGGGAGGCAGAGGTTGCAGTAAACCAAGATCGCACCACTGCACTCCAGCCTGGGTGACAAGCAAAACTCCGTCTAAAAAAAAAAAAAAAAAAAAGACTGAGAGTTTTACAGAGTTGAATAGAGGCAAGTCATGGGAGCTTCCCCGTGAAGTCATGCAGCACACAGCAGTANAGAGAGAGAGAGAGAGAGAGAGAGAGAGAGAAATTAGCTTAGGACGAAAAGAATTTTGTCCACAACAAAGGAAAGATTCCTCTGGATCCACCAGATGGAGGAAGGTTTGAGAGAACAAAGTTCATGGTTGGGTTCCAGGGTCTGAGCAGAAGCAGGAGAGAGAATCTTCTCTTTCTTTAGAGGTGTAAAGAGTGGGAACTGGGGACCAGTAACTCAGAGAGGCAAGGCCAAGTTCAAGAAAGACTGGGGGGACGAATGGACTGATAGTAACACACAGACAGAGACGCACACTTATGCAGTCACGTGTGCATGAAACAATAGCAGGCGCCTTTTCGAAGTATGTCGGGTTGAGTGAAATGACCTAAATGTATATTTTGTATACAGTAAGCAGGAAGGCAGAGCCCTGTTTTTACAAACTACATTCTCAACATTTTTAAAAACATTTGTTCCTGGCCAGGTACAGTAGCTCATGCCTGCAATCCCAGCACTTTGGCAGGCTGAGGCAGAAGGATCACTTGAGGACAGGAGTTCAAGACCAGCCTGGCCAACATAGCCCAAAACCCCCGTGTCTACCAAAAAAAAAAAATTCAAAAATTAGCCTGGCATGGTGGCTTATGCCTGTAGTCCCAGCTACTTGGAAGGCTGAGGCAAGAGAATTGCTTAAACCTGGGAGAAGAAGTTTCAGTGAGCTGAGATCACAACACTGCACTCCATCCTGGGGAACAACAGAGTGAGACTCTATCTCAAAAAAATAAAAATAAAAATAAATCGTTCCTTTACAATAAACATAAAAACCACATACCCTTGTTTAAAATGATTTGAAATTTCAAATGAAATAGAGTGACTGATAAAAACATGCAGGAAGTTTCAGAGTATGTTTCTTCAAGTTACTTAAGCCTCCTTCCCCCAGACTGTGGTCTGGAACCTTCTGATCTATGGCTTTCCAGGTGAATCTCAGCTGAGCTGCTTTAACATGGTAAGTGTGGCCAGATCTGCAGAGTAGCCTCAGGCTGGGCTCATTAACTCCAAAGGAAAAAGAAAAAGGCCACAACTTAGTGGGCTGCCAAAGCTGCTGTCTTTTTTTTTTTTTTTTTTTTTT